ACACACACACACACACACACACACACACACACACACACACACACACACACACACACAGACATATATATATAAAATATTTTAATTTGCATAAGAATAAAATAGGAACATCTTACCTGATTTGATGGGCTTTCTCACCGTACCAGGGTTGGGGTTGATAGACGTCTTTATGATAGGCATGGTGGGTAGCTTGCTGCGCAGTTCATTGATAAGCTTATCGTCGCCCGGCGAATTCTCCACGTCGCTATCGCTGTCGGCCGAGCTGACCAGCGACACCATGGTGACCACGTCACTCGTTTTGGGATCCACAAAAGCTTTCCCTCGTCCCCCGCGATCCTCGTCTTTGCTTAGACCCGACGAGGCGAGGAAACGTCTTTTCGAACTTCTCGATCTCCTCTTCAGAGGCGCCGATTTTATCGAGCGCTCTCCTCGCGATATCTACAGAACAGTTGGCGCAGATTCTTATCTATGTTCTTATCAGACTGATTTTTCCCTTCATTTTTATATCGATTATTTACTTGTGAATTATTTTATTATCAGGAGACCTTTGATTTACGCAAAGCGATAGTGAATCCCCGGATTTTTCAGATTCTAGGAAAAGCTCTCAAGCAACTACTTACCTTCGTCGCACCTTCCTCGTACTTTTCCACGGCATCTTTTCCGTCCTGCATTTTTTCACAAACGATCAATTTATCCGTCGCCTCGGCGAGACCAGGCGCGTCGATCACAATGTTCACCTGTATGCGCGCCGCGGATGCGAGATTTCGTCTCTGCGGCGGCGCCGAATTCGTCCTTCTCGCTTTTTCTAGGCTTGCCGTAGACGAGCTTCTCGTGAGAACAGCACTCTTGTCGATTGGCGATCTCGTCGCGGTTTTATCGGCCGAAGCGCATCTGATCTCGACCGATTTCGTTGGCGCGAGCTTATTCTTCGCTTCCGGTACTTTCGGAGACTTGTCAACCATTGGTACGAGAAAGGCGCGATTGGTACCGCTGTGAAAACTCGCGCGCTTCTGCTTTGCCAACGAAAAATCGGCATTGATCTTCGCCGATTCCGCATTTGCCACTTTCGAGCATGAAAAAGCGGCCGACGGTTGCGATAGATCGCTCATTGGAAGATGAAGATTCGTGCAGTCGATATTTATATGCGTCTTCTTTCTCTTCTCCTCCTCCTCGATTATCTCTGGATTATCGTGCAAGTTGGTAGCTTGGTTCTAAAAAGATCGGTAATGTCCTCCATCCGATTATTTGATATTGAAAAATTTCGTTATTATGAACGGAGTATAATTATTCATCTAAATACCTCGTTATCTCTTTCCTCCTTTTCCACGCTTTTCGCTACTTTCTCAACCCCTTTCGTCAACAGATCGTTCTCCGTCAATCGAGACGCAGTCTCCAGCTTCTTCCCGCATGATCTTCCATCTTCAATAGCATCATCTTCACGCGTTTCCTTCCCTCGATCTCTCATATTGTTTGACGCTGCTGGGTTCCGCTGAACTTTTTTCTCATCCTGAATAGAATTAGGCTTCTTCCTGGAGAGAGGGGTCGGCGGGGCGGACATTGATAGCTGAGAGTCGCAGCGTTCCTCCACTGCCACGCCATGTGCCAGGAAAATGTCGATGTTCGCTTTGTTCTGCTCGCGGTGCTTCCATGCGAGTCGCAGCCTCTCGGCGAGCTCTTGCCGCGAGTAAAGGATCGATGCCTTCTCCGTAGTGGCATAAGCCCTGCCAGATCGACCTGTGGGTGGTTTGGATCGGCCTGGGATCTGCCGAGCCACCACCTCCACCTGGGCCAGACCATCGCAGCCGCGACGATCATCACCCCAGGCGACTCGCACCTGTCAATTGCACGATAATATAAAATAACAAAACGTATTTGTTAAATGTATTTATTACGTTAAGACTATGCACCTTGAGAGATATTAAAAATCTAAAATGAATACAACGTAATAAAACGACTCTTCGATTATTAAATGAAAAAAAAAAAAAAAAAAACGAGTTCTATGTGCTGTCTACAGAAAGGCGAGTCCTAATTAAAACCTAATGGTTAAAGGGAAGCAAGTTTTCTCAACTACCTTGGGCTTCTCTGTCGCATTTGTGGCTAATCTTCCACGCGCGATCGGATTCGCGTAGATTTGCAGGGACTTGCTGCAATCGTCCTCCGCCGATCTCTGACGTCTAATATGTTGTCGACGCGGCGCAGGCTGCTGCAACGACAGCTGCCTGACAGGTCGCGTCGCTCTTCTACCATTAGACATCCCCGGACAATCTTTTTCGCATTGTCAATGTGTCCTCTTGACAATTTCCAAAACCTTTTTAGTGGAGCTTATTTATTAATTCGTTCATTGGCAGGGGAAGCAATCCCTTGACGATGACACAGGTTGAATTAAGGAAAAGGATCTTTCTCTATAAATATAATATTTAGGTTTCTTTAGCTCTCGAGTGAGGAGTCCACCAAGAAACGTTGTCGACGCCACGACTGGGCGCCGACTGACTGACTACCCTCATCCATTGCCCTCCACCAACCTTCGGTGTGTACCAAGTCCAAGCCCGGTTCACAAACACGCTTGTAGGTGTACTAACTCTCCCCTTTTCGCTCTCTCTCTCTCTCTCTCTCTCTCTCTCTCTCTCTCTCTCTCTCTC